GCATGTGTGCATGTGTGTATATGTGTGTATATATGTGTGTGCATGTGCGTATATGTGTGTGCATATGTATGTGTGTGTACATGTGTGTGCATGTGTGTGTGTATGTGTGTAAGCACTTTTGTGAGAATAAGAAGACAACTCTGTGGAGTTAGGTCCCTCTGCTCACCTTTCCCTGGGTTCTAAGGCTCAGACTCAGGTAGCTAGGCTTGCTTAGCAAGGGCTCCTCTCACTGGGCTCTAAAGTGCACTCTGTGTATGCATATGGCACTGCTGCAGCAGACAGGACTTTTAATAGAAAACAGTGACAGCCAGCAGTGACTACGGCTATGTGCGAGAAGCACCAGAGCTGACTGGAACAGTGATCACAGGCTGAATGGCAGGAAGCCTGTCCTTCGCTAGGCAGAGTGGGGTCCCAGCTTTTCACACAGCTGAGCTGACTTGAGCTACGGAACTGAGCAGTGGGGACTGAGGACATGGCAAGATGCCCGAATGTTCTGTTTTGATGGAAAAGAGAAGGTTTGCTTGCTTCTTTGTGGCTCGTCATTGTGGTTTGTTTGTTTGTTTGTTTGTTTGTTTGTGGAGCCAGGGTCCCCTGCTCTGTGGCCCAGGCTGTCTTCTCATTGCAACGTTCCAAATCCTGAGATGTCACGTGTATGCTGCTTACTGTATGCCAAGCTAGGAGTGGTTTCACATTACATCTTGTTCGTGCAGAGAGACATGCTTGGCTAGAAGGGACACCCTGACCAAACCTGAGCAGGTTGACTTGCTCTGAAAATGACAAAGAGAAACAGGAGTCACTTACTGTGCTCACTATAGAATCATGAGGCTTTTAAGAGGTCTGACTTCCAGTTGGTCCCAGGGACAGGGCTGAGCTGGGCAGCTGGGTTCAGCAGAAAGTATTTTATTTATTTATTTATTTATTTATTTATTTATTTATTTAGACAGGGTTTCTATGTGTAACCCTGACTTTCCTGGAACTCTGTAGACCAGGCTGGCCTTGAACTCAGAGATTCACCTGCCTCTGACTCCAGAGTGCTGGGATTAAAGGCGTGTGCCACCACTTTCAGCTTCTTGAAGAGCTTTCAGTAACTCAAGCTGTGACTCTCCTAGACCTTGGGTTCAATAGTGACTTTCTGAAGATTTTTTTTTTCAGTGTTTTGTGGACAGGACCAGGTGACTGAAGTAGTCACCTACAGAGAGTGGATTAGAACAGTGCTGCCTCCATCTCTTCCCTGGTAGGGCACAGCACTACCTCCTGAAGCAGGGCTCATTTGATGTCTGTGGTTTAGCAGGAGCCTACTCTTAAACACGGAGCCAGACTTCTGTAAGCCGTTCAACTGAACCGAGACGCTTAGAAAGTAGTGCACAGCGTTTACCATAACAATTTGGCACGAAGACATATGTACTGTTATAGTATTTTTTTTCCAGACAAGGCAGGTGGAAGCGAGCTACAGAACCCCGGGGAGTCCTGTAAAGATATGAGCTTCATTGGGGTGCTTTGCCATGGCCTTCCCGGCGACATCCCTCCCGCTAGAGGTTCTATACCTTGGACACGGAGCCAGGCCAAGGCAGCTACCTCCTTAGTCTGTGGCTTCATTCTCTCCTCCTGCTGACTTTCCAAATGCTGGCAGTGGCTGGGGCCCTACATTCCTTCAGCAGGAGTCTGCGCAACGGTTGCTGCTTTTGTTTGTTTATTTGTTTGTTTTCGTCCAGCAGAGTCTTAGTATGTAACACCCAGACTAGATTGGACATTACTATGTAGCCCAAGATGGCCTCGAACTCATAGCAATCCTTCTACCTCGGCCTCTCAAGTGTTAGAATTACAAGCACGAGCCAGCACGCTGGCTGACACATCCTTTTTAAATCGGCAATTTCCTTGTCTGTTCCAAGCCAGCGTGAATCGCACAGGAAAAGAGGGCCGCGTGGCGTGCATTTCGGTCCGCGCGCGCTTCCCTCCCCAGCGCGCTCTTCCCTTACCCGGCCCGCCCTTAGCTCCAAACTCATCACGCCCTTCTCTTCTCTGGGCAGCTGGCACTACCCAGCGCGGAACAGCCCGGCAGACGGCGGGAAGAGCCGAGCAGCTAGGAGCGCGGGCGGCAACATTGCAGGAAGCTCCCATTCATAAAGCAAACACCTGCTCGCCGCCTCCCGCCTCTCCCCACCCGCGAGCAGCCTGAGGAGGTTGTATTTGGCAACCTTCACAGTGGTCCTCGCCAAGTCCTCGCCGCTCCGGGCCTCATCGTCCACAACCAGCCCCGGTAGAACCGAGGAGACAAAAAAAAAAAGGGCCCGGGGACCCAGGGTAAAACCAACCCCCCCCCTTGGGCGAGAGCTGTCCGACATTTTGTTGCCTTGAAACTTTTTGGGGGGGGGGGGGGGGGGTGGGGGAAATAGATTTAGGAAGCGACTGTCGCGCTGTGCTGCGGGGCCTTTTCCAAACGACAGGCCTTTTAGGGACCGCTGTTTACGCTTTCATGGTGGCGGGGAGTGGGCAGGGCGGGAGCTGGCCAGGGATGCTCTGGCAAGCGGGGCGGGGCGCCGTGCTAATTCACCGTGCAGTCTCCATTCGAATCCGAGCAGCTCTCCACAATGATCCTCCCCGCGAAGCGAAGCCCTCCGACCCGCCCCTGACTGCCAGCCGCGAGAAGCGAGCCCTCATTCGCTGAGCTGACGCCTGGCTCCCCGCCCCCCGCCCCGTTACTCTCGCTCTGGAAATTACAACTCCTGGGCGCGCGGCGCGGCGGGCGGGCGCGGGAGGCGGCGGGGCCGGGAGGGGATTCCCGAGCCAGCGGGTGCTCGCCCCCACCCGCCGCTGCAGCGTGGCGCGGCCAAGGTCAGGGGCGCCGCAGGGACCGGAGACCGCGAGGCGAGCCAGGGACGCTGCTCTCAATACCGTCCTGCGAGGAGGCAGCTCCGAAAGCAGCGGCCCGAGCAGCGGGACGGCGACGGTCTCCGGGCCAGGGGATGCCGAGGTGGCCACAGCGACACCGCAGCCTGGCGGGGGATGCGCACGAGGGGCGGGCGCGGACTCCCTGCCCATCCCCTCGCGGGCGCTGTCCGCCGTCTGATGGTGCTGAACCAGCCCTGGGCCCCGCCGCTCGGGCACTGGCCAAGAGCTGGGTAGGGGCGGGGCGCTCGCAGAAGGAAGACTCGGGGCAGCGGCACTGCAGAGCAGGGCTCAGTAGCCTTGCTGGCTCACAGTAGCGGGTCACTAGTCCTTCGTTGAGTGGAGGCACGAGGTACCCCGGACGGCGCTGCTGCTGCCTGTTCACCATCTGGACAACCTCGGAGGCCACCGCGAGGGCTGCGGGCCACCTTCATTCTGCCGCCTCTGGTGAGGGAGCCTCGCTCTCAGGAGGTGAAGACCCCTCCTTTCTCTGGCGGCCAAGCGTCTTAGGGCGGTGGCCTGAGGACAGAGAGGGGGCGTGCCACCCTCGGGTGAAGATAGCATGCCCGTGTAATACCCCCGCCTCCTGACTCAAGAGCGCTGACATCGCCCGCCCAGCTGCGCTTGTCTTCCGAGCCTTGACCATTCTTGGCTGGTCCCGAGCGGCTCCGGCCGCGGGCGCGGCGATGGAGGAGGAGCTGAAGTGCCCAGTGTGCGGATCCCTATTCCGGGAACCCATCATCTTGCCCTGCTCTCACAATGTCTGCTTGCCGTGCGCCCGCACCATCGCGGTTCAGACCCCGGACGGCGAGCAACACCTGCCCCCGCCGCTCCTTCTTTCGCGGGGTGCCTCCGCTGCCGCCGCCGCGCCCCCTCCGGATCAGGACGCAGCCGCCGGCGCGACCTGCGGAGGTGCGGGAGGTAGCACAGCCGGAGGCCTGGGCGGCGGGGCGGCCGGTGGCGGAGACCACGCGGACAAGCTGAGCTTGTACAGCGAGACTGACAGCGGTTATGGCTCCTACACCCCCAGCCTCAAGTCCCCCAATGGCGTTCGCGTGCTGCCCATGGTGCCTGCGCCCCCGGGCTCTTCGGCCGCCGCGGCCCGAGGCGCCGCCTGCTCCTCGCTCTGCTCGTCCTCCAGCTCCATCACCTGCCCGCAGTGCCACCGCAGCGCTTCCCTGGATCACCGCGGCCTGCGAGGCTTCCAGCGCAACCGGCTACTGGAGGGCATTGTGCAGCGGTACCAGCAGGGCCGTGGGGTTGCTGCGGGGGCCTCTGCAGCCCCGGCGGTGGCCATCTGCCAGTTGTGCGACCGCACCCCACCGGAGCCGGCAGCCACTCTCTGCGAGCAATGCGACGTGCTCTATTGCGCCACCTGCCAGCTCAAGTGCCACCCGTCCCGGGGCCCCTTCGCTAAGCATCGGCTAGTTCAGCCGCCGCCGCCCCCCACACCCCCAGAGGGTGCCCCTGCTTCAGCCGGCACTTCCACCGCCTCCAGCGCAGGAGGATGCAGGAGCCCAGGGGGTGCCGGGGCCAGCGCGCCGCGAAAGTTCCCCACATGCCCCGAGCACGAGATGGAGAACTACAGCATGTACTGCGTGAGCTGTCGCAGCCCGGTGTGCTACATGTGTTTGGAGGAAGGCAGGCACAGCAAGCACGAGGTGAAGCCGCTGGGAGCAACGTGGAAACAGCACAAGGTGAGCGTTGTCTGTGCGGTGATGCCAGCCAGGGTGGAAGTCAAGAGATTCTCCGGACTCCTTCTTGGAGAATTGCTGGAGGGTGGGCCTGAGGGCCAAACAGGAATCACTCCATCCATCCATCCATCCATCCATCCATCCATCCATCCACGTGTTCATCTTTCCATCGATCTATGTATCCATCTATCCATACATTGAGTATGGTTATCCACCTATGCTTCCATCCAAGCCTTCATGCATCTATGCATGTATTCCCACATGCATGCACACACCTGTCTATCACCAGTACGTTAATGGATCTGTATGTTCATACATACATGCATGCATGCATGCATGCGTCCATCCATCCATCCAGGGATCCCAGCAGTCACTATCTGACCTACACTCAGTGGACCACGTACCCTGCACTCGGTATTGGATTGGTGGGTTATGAAAACGACTTAAGTTTCCTTTCTGAGGCGAAGGGTTCCAGAAGCACAGAAACAGGGCTCTCTCACCCAAAGTCTGAGGCACACTGTCAGAACTCCCTTCCCTCTTGTAAGGAGGAGACAGGTTTTGAAGTGAAACTGTTACCAGATGGCCATAGGAAGCCATCTGAAGTCTTCCTTGAATCTGTTACCAAGGCTGGGAGACAGCAGCCCTGCTCAAGGACCCTGGAGCCTTGTTCTACCCTAGCCTCCATCAGCTTCACTTCACTGAACAGACATGCTTTTCCTTTTCAGCTTCCAGAGAAGAAATGTCTCCTTCACTTAGTTTCCAGCTAGTTCTATACCCAGAATTCCTCTACGCCTGTAGAAAGGAGGCAATGTCTCTTGGGCTATGGAAGAGATTTGGGGAGGGGAGGGACTTCCAGGAAAAGAGTGTGGTTTCCCCTAGAGTCCTTCTCTTGCCTGAGGCTCTGCTACTGGAACTGTGGAGGAGTGGCAGGCCAGGTTTTTACTAAGAGACCAAGCACATCTGCCTATAGCCTCCCCCACTGGGGACTGGCCAGGGATAGTGCTACTCTTAGCAACATAGACCTGGTACTTTGCTCTCTTCTTTTCCTAAAGCCGCGATGGTCTGCCTGGCCCTTCGCCAGCCCTCAAGGCAAGGTCAGGGCACACCTCCTTACCTGACATTCATTCTATCCAGCGACCTTGTGTGGCAGGCCTCCCTGCCTCCTTAAACAAACCGGTTAGAGTCACTTGTTCATGGTGCGTTTCACACACCCCTCCTTCAGAAACCCACCATGGAAGGTAAGAGGTGCCCAGACTGTCCAACAAGAATTATTGCCTATACTTACACACAGTAGAGCCGTGGGAAAATAAGGCAGCTTGGTAAGGTACCTCATCATACAAACTGCAAACAGCCCAGCGCAGCCAGATAGAGACGTACCTTGTCTATGTTTACTTTATATACCTTCATCTGCTACAATAAACATGTATAGCTATGATAATTTAAGTTTTTTTTTAAAGATCCTCTTTTACTTACTGTGTAATTCAGGCTGGGATTGAACTCACAACCACCCTCCTCCTCAGCCTCTTGAGTGCCGGGGTTACAGACGTGAGCTGCAGCACACAGCTATATTTTTAAATGAAAAATATAGGGGAAAAAGTAATTCTAGAACCCTTTAGAAATCTACGTTGGAGAAGGAAACATGTTTAATGTCCTAGAGCGGGGATTCTCAGCAGGGACAATGTACACTTTCACCGGGCTTCTCCTGGTGCTCCGAAAGGTCTGGAGATTTGGCCAGCAACGCTAGCGATCCTGCAGTACAGTTGAGAATCCATCCCCTGCCATGAACTGTTTCCCCTCAGAGAAGCTCTGCTCTAGGGTCCCACAGCTTTGTTTTCACATCTCAGCCTTGAAAGTTACTAGCCGTGCGTGTTTAAGGTACTTTAACTTTGAGCCCGCTGTAAGTAACATCTCGCTTGGATTCTTGTGGGAAGGGGTTAAGTATAATCCGCTGTGCACAGCCCCCAGTGTTATTTGCTGTTTTATGGTATTTACGTCTAACCTATGGATCTGTGGAAGACTACGGGGGGGGGGCACCTTGTTCTTTCATTCTCGTTGACTTGGAGAAAGTAGCAGCTGGTGACTGTGAATGTATTTTTCTGAGTTTATTTCGGTTTTCTTTCATTGGTATGCTTTTTAAACTCACAGCTGTCGTCTGTTATGTGTGTGTGTGTGTACACTTATGTGTGCCACAGTGTGAGTGTGTCGGTATCTGGGTTTGTTGGATCAGCTTAGTTAGGTCATCAAGCTCGGCAGCAAGTGCCTTTACTCACGGAGCCATTTCCCAGCATGCTGGCCTTCATGTGCTTCTTTTTAATTTTTGCTTCATTTATTTTATTGGGTGTGTGTGTGTTGTCCATGCGTGTGCACATGTGTCTGGGTGCACACCTGTGCATGCACTTGTAGAGGACAAAAGTTGGTGTCCAGTGCCCTCCTCTATAGAACTCCACCTTACATTCTGAGACAAGGTCTCTTACTGAATCTGGAGTTCACAAACGGGCCAAGATGGCTGGTCAGTGAGTCCCCCCCCCCCCCGCCCCGTCTCTGCCTGCCTCACGCTGGGATCACAGACATGTAGTGATCCTGTACTCAGCTGATATAGGTTCTGGGGATTTTGCTTGGGTAGCAGGTGCTTTGCCTACTGAGCCATCTCCTTTTTCTCTTTGGGGTATTGTTTCTACTTTAATGACTGAGAACATTTGCCCCAAGTTAGGGTCTCACACACCACATTCTGTTGTGTATTGCATGGTAGTCAGTGCAGCTGACTTCCTGTTTCATCTCTTAAATGAGTAGACATAATTTTATAAATTAAAAAAATCTGGCATGGAGAGATGGTTCAGCAGTTAAGAACACCTGTTGCTCTTGCAGAAGACCTGGAGATGGCTCAGCGGGTAAGACTGTGTTGTTCTTGCAGAGGATCAGAGTTTGGCTCCCAGCACCCACATCAGTCTCCAGCTCCTGGGAATCCAGAGACATCTTCTGGCCTTCTCGGTCACTGGCACTCACACACGTATTCACATGCACCCATGCACATGTGTGTGAGATACACATACACCAATTTTTTTTTAAAGAAAAAAAAAAGAAGTTTAGGTTTGAAGTCTCACATTCAGATTTCATGAGCTGTTATGGTTTCATAGCCTAGAGGGCCAAGCCTAATTTGGGGTCCTGTTACCCAAACATTTATAGTGTTAAAGATTGCAAACCAGAGAGCTGAGGTGAGAATTTGAATTCATGAGAGAGAGGAAATATCTTGCATAGAAAAATAAGTTTGATAATGGGCTAAGGTTTCAAGGTCCAAGGTCATGCAGGAGAAAAAAAATCAGTGGTCATCCCTGGCCTGGTGGCAATAGCAGTTTAGTAAATGTTTCTCTCGTCAACTTCAATTACTCTGCTTGGTATCGAGAACACCAGAGAAACACGTGAATCTCTGCCCTGAACCATGGGCAGCAGCGTCGTCATGGCAGTGTCACCTGTGGGAATATATCTGTGCAGATCTTGAGTTTGAATCTTGTACCTAGTGCTCCAGCCTGAATCCAGAAGAGACACAATGAAAGAGGGAGGGAGGGGGGAGATAGAGAGACAGAGACAGAGCGGGCAGGCTCTCCTTTCCAACTTCAAGGAAAATTAGAGTGCGGAGCATCTCACTGGGAAGACGGCTCAGTGGTCAAAGCGCTTGCCTCAAGACTATGAGGACCTGGGTTTGATTCCCAGCACCCAACATAAAAAAACAGACATGATGGTCTGCACCTATGATCCCAGCGCTGGGGGGAGAAGGGAGATGGAAACAGGAAGATCCCTGGAGCTCCCTGAGCAGCCGGCCTCAAGGAGGAAGGCTCCTGAGAATGAAACCAGAGGTTGTCCTCTGGCCTCCAAATACGTGCACACACATGTACATATATACCCCTCCCCAACCTGCATGCACACACATTGCATATATATACCCCCTTTTCGTCTACCCGTATACACAAACACACAAACAGTTCAAAATAAAACAACGGGCTGGAGACATGGCTTTGTGAAGGCTTGAGGATTTGAGTTCAGATCCTCAGCACCTGGGTTTAAAAAAGAAAAGGCACAGCAGCAGACACCTGTAATCTCTGCACTGGGAAGGTGGCGATGGGAGAGTCCTAGTCCTGGATGGCCAGTTAGCCTAGTCAAACCAGTGAATTCCAGACTATATGGAGCATCGTCAAGGAAGACATTCAGTGTTGACCTCTGGCCTCCCTGTATACATGTGCACACATCCGTATGAAAACACAGCACACTTCCAAATGAGAATCTTACTTGGGGCTGGAGCAGGACTGAGAGGGATCACAGCTGATCAGTGTCTAGCTTTGACGTTGGTCCTGAGACCACCGGGTGAACCGTGAGAGGGCCGCTTTTGAAAGATAAACCAGGACCTCCACTTCAGACTCCCACTGTGGTGTAAGTTTCCCAGTAAGCCTTAGAGTCTAGGCTCTTTCCTCTTCTTGCCTCAACATCTCAGAATCCACTGCCAGAAACATGGCCTGAGTTGCTGAGGCTGGAGATGCCTTCCGTGCAGCTGTACTAATTTTTCTGTGGCACCATGAAGCTTGTCATCTGATTAGTGATTCCCAAATACAGAGACTTTAGGTGACACTGAGATCATCACCTTTTAAAAACAGTATGGGGACCTGTAGGTCTTGTCAAAACAAATTTTTATATGGTTCTCCTGGAAGTGGATTAACCCTTTCAGTGAACTTCTGATGTGAGCATTCAACCACGGGCTGTTGCCCTTCAGCCTATTGGAGTAGAGCTTCACCCCGCACCGCCATCCCACTTCTGCAAGAGGTGAAAGGTCATTACGGGCCTCAGTGCTTCCTAGCTGCATCTGAAATTCCTACTTCAAGGAAGACATTGAGCTGCGGGATGTGGGTGGGCAG